CTGTCAAATAAATAAATAAAATCTTAAAAAAAAAAAAAAAAACACAAGAAGTGTCTAAAACTGCCACCATGAAGAACAGCCCAAGGAGACATGACAAGTGAATGCAATATGACATCCTGGGTGGACCTTATAGAACAGAAATAGGACATTGGGTGAAAACTGAAGAAATCTGAATAAAGTGTGGATTTAATAATGTGTCAATATTGGTTCATTACTTGTAACAAATGTACTCTACTAATATAAAATGTAAGTAGTAAGAGGGAATTCTTGGTGGGGGAGCAGATATTGGGAACTCTATAGCAGCTGCTTTATCTTCTGTAAATCTCAAATTCTATGGGATGCCTGGGTGGCTCGGTCAGCTAAGCATCTGGCTTCATTCAGCTCAGATCATGATCCTAGGATCCTGGGATTGAGCCTCGCATCGGTCTCTCTGCTTAGCAGGGAATATGCTTCTCCCTTTCCCTCTCTCACTCTCAAATAAATAAAATCTTTCTTAAAAAAATAAAGCTTCTAAAAAATTTAACCTACTGGGGTGCCTGGGTTACTCAGTCTAAGGTTAAGCCTCCAACTCTTGGCTTCAGAGCTTGTGATCTCTGTCAAATAAATAAATAAAACCTTAAAAAAAAAAAAAACTAGTCTCAAAGGGGTTTATATGACTGATGTGAACTTGAATTTTTTAAACATTTCCGAGTTAGTTGTTTTTTTTTTTTTTAAGATTTTTTATTTATTTATTTATTTGAAACAGAGAGAGAGAGATCACAAGTATGCAGAGAGGCAGGCATAGAGAGAGGAGAAGGCAGGCTCCCCGCCGAGCAGAGAGCCCGATGCGGGCCTCGATCCCAGGACCCTGAGATCATGACCTGAGCCGAAGGCAGAGGCCCAACCCACTGAGCCACCCAGGCGCCCTCCAAGTTAGTTTCTTTAAGAAAAAAAACTTTTGTCTAGCACATTTAAAGTACTAGAAATACAGTCTCTCTTACACAGTCAGAACAGAGCACCTTTGAGATTTTTTTTTTTAAAGATTTTATTTATTTATTTGACAGATCACAAGTAGGCAGAGAAGCAGGCAGAGAGAGAGAGAGGAGGAAGCAGACTCCCTGTGGAGCTGGGAGCCCGATGCGGGGCTCGATCCCAGGACCCTGAGATCATGACCTGAGCCAAAGGCAGAGGCTTTAACCCACTGAGCCACCCAGGCGCACCACCTTTGAGATTTTTTAAGTGGAGCCCAGTGTAGGACTTGAACTCAGGACCCTGAGATCGAAACCTGAGCTGAGTTCAAAAGTCAGGCCCTTAATGGACTGAACCACCTAGGTTCCCCAAGATTTTTTTTTTTTAAAGATTTTATTTATTTATTTGAAACAGAGAGAGAGAGATCACAAGTATGCAGAGAGGCAGGCATAGAGAAAGAGGAGAAAGCAGGCTCCCCGCGGAGCAGAGAGCCCAATGCGGGCCTCGATCCCAGGACCCTGAGATCATGACCTGAGCTGAAGGCAGAGGCTTAACCCACTGAGCCACCCAGGCGCCCCCCCAAGATTTTTATGATCTAAATTTATCAGTACCCGACAGAGCTGGAAAACATTTCACATTCAGACACTCAGAAGGAAAACAAAAAAACCCATAGAGGTCTTATAGCTCTACAGGTCTACAGCTTTGGCCACAGAGCAAGAGTAAACACAAATGAAAACCTCACAATTCTGATAAAGAGCTGCAAAAAAAAATTTTTTTTTTAAGATTTTATTAGGGAGGGGCACCTGGGTGGCTCAGTTGGTTAAGCAATTGCCTTCGGCTCAGGTCTTGATCCTGGAGTCCCACATCGGGCTCCCTGCTCGGCAGGGAGTCTGCTTCTCCCGCTGACCTCTCTCCTCTCATGCTTTCTCTGTCTCTCTCAAATAAATAAAATCATTTAAAAAATTAAAAATAAAAAGATTTTATTAGGTAATCTCTATACCCAACATGAGACTCAGACCCACCCACCACCCCAGGATCAAGAGTCCCATGCTCTACCAACTGAGCCAGCCAGGCGCAGCAGAGCTGCAAAATTCTTGATTTAAGCTTCAAAAAAACAAAATCAAACAACAAACCAGATTATGCATCATCTCTCACCCAACAGAGAATAGATCTCTGCTACCCGTTTTCAGAGATTACTGAATGATGAGATCATAAAGCCAGATTGACCATCATTGCTGCTGATGAGGACTGGCTTATTGGCCTTAGGTGAACCAGAAACAAAGCCCCAGATTAGTAGCGATAGGAAACAAGCCAGAGAAATACTTTTTGCCTCAGGCTCCTTCCTGGAGACCATAGGTGTGGAAGCCAGTGCCCTGCCTCTGCTGGAGGGGTTGGAGAATGAAGGTCGGGGTTGGCACACAGCAAAGTAGACCCCAGCGCTTGTGATGAACAGTCAGGGCATCTGGCTGGCCTACATTGTCTTGGTAGGACTGCCTCATGTTCTACTCCGCATTCCTGTTGTCTGGACCTGACCGACGCTGACCGACGCCATCCATAACTTGGCTGTGGTGTCATCTCAATATACAGTGAAAGGGACACCCTTTAAAACCCCTCACTAAGGTGTGACACACTGGGAACAGATCGACTGTAGGCTCCAGTTTACCTCTTCCTGCAAATTCCTCAGCGTTTCTCCCACTGTCCTCTACCTCCTGGCCAGTTTCTGCACCTCATCTGCACAGCCTCATTGCTCAGCATACTGCTGCCTAAGTTACCCAGTTCCATGGGCTTCGTGTCTTTGGCATCAACAAATACTGAGGGATGGGGCTGGGGATAACACTGGGCCAAAGGGCTAGAACATCCTTTCTTTCTCCATATGTATAACCTTTTATATGTTTAAAGCCTGAAAGCTCTACAACTTTGGCCAACCTTTCTCTTCCCAGAGAAGAGAACAGATTAGAAAATAGGGCTCCCTGGGCCCAGCCCTGCCAAGAGCAGGTTTCTTGGAATCAGAAAAAGCAGGAAAGATAAAGGCCAAATCGCTCCCCCACCACACACACATGCACGCACGCCATGTTTGGGCAGCTTGTTTGCTGATTAAGTTTTTCCAGATCAGCCACATCCACCACCTTCCAGCTCTGTTTTGCTGTGTGTTTCCTTTTAATAAAGGTAATTTTGAGAGGCACCTGGGTGGCTCAGTGAGTTAGAGCCTCTGCTTTCGGCTCCGGTCATGATCCCAGAGTCCTGGGATCGAGCCCCACATGGGGCTCTCTGCTCAGCGGGGAGCTTGCTTCCTCCTCTCTGTCTCTGTGTCTCCTGTGTCTCTTCCTGCTTGTGATCTCTGTCAAATAAATAAAATCTTTAAAAAAAAAAAAAAAGGTAATTTTGAGGGGCACCTGGGTGGCTCAGTTGGTGATGTGTCCCAGGTCTTGATTTTGGCTCAGGTTATGATCTCAGTCATGAGATTGAGCCCCATGTTGGGCTCGGCGCTGGGTGTGAAGCTTACTTAAGACTTTCTCCCTCTGCCCCTCCCCTACACCCCCCCAACACTCTAAAAAAAAAAAAAGTAATTTTTTTTCCCAAAAATAAAGTTATTTTTCAGAGAGAGCATAAGCAGGGGGAGCAGCACTCGGAGGGAGAAGCAGGCTCCCTCCTGAGCAAGGAGCCCATTGTGGGACTCAGTCCCAGAACCCTGGGTTCATGACCTGAGCAGAAGGCAGATGCTTAACTGACTGAGCCACCTAGGGTCCCAAGAAAATAAAGTTCTGTTGCCTCTTGAGATTACCTCAGGACACCAAGGAAAGATGAAGTATACTTCCCTAACAAGATAGTTCACCTGGCCCAGGTGGATGACCCCTCCCACCCCAAGATTGTTAAGGGGTAATTTTTTTAAACATTTTTATTCAAATTCAATTAATTAACATATAATGTATTATTGGTTTCAGAGGTACAGGCCTGTGATTCATCAGTCTTCTATAACAGTGCGCATTACATCACATGCTATCCTTAAGGTCCATTATCCATTTACCCATCCCCTCACCCCCCTCCCCAGGGGATAATTTTTTAAGGCAAAATCATGACTCTTATAAATACAGAATAATAAACATTGTCCAGCATTTTAATTAAGTAGTGAGAGGATGAATAGGTTGTTACAAGTAGTTCTTGCTGATTTTTAATTCCGAAATACCTCGAAATTCGGTCTTCCTCTCTGCCCCTCCTGCCTTGTCCTGGTTTAGGCCCCAATCCCTTTATCTCTTTTGCTAAGTAATGAACCAGTGATCCTTTTGCATCCACTCTTAACACTCTACATTCAGTACCCCACCTTGTGACCAGATGGGCTCTAAAAAGGCAAGGCTGTTCATGTCACTCCACTTACCTGATCAACCCACCTCCCCCTGCCCCCCAAAAAACTTCAATAACTGTACATGTTCTCACTATATCCAAGCTGGAACACGGGAACCTGTGTTTTTAACAACCTCTGCAAATGCTACCCTTTAACAAGTTTGAGAACAGGCTAAAACCCAAGCACTTTTGCGGGCGGGGGCGGGGCGGGGTTTAGGGGTGGTCAGGTAACATTCAAGGACCGAGCAAGCAATGGTCCCTGCTTGCTTCTTTTTTTTTTTTTTTTTTTTTTAATTTAATTAACAGACCGCACTAGTAGGCAGAGAGAGGAAGGAAAGCAGGCTTCCCGCCGAAGCAGAGAGCCTGATGTGGGACTCGATCCCAGGACCCTGGGATCATGACCTGAGCTGAAGGCAGCGGCTTAACCCACTGAGCCACCCAGGCGCCCCTTGCTTGCCTCTCTTATGTTATCTTTTACCACTCTCAGTTTCTCACAGCCAAATTACGTGAAATAGTCTTTGCCTGGGAATTTAGATCAGATTTGGACTGTGAAAGCCTACATATGCACCCTGTCCTCCCCAGGATGATTGGGGTGTCCCTCTTCTGCTCCTCATTGCATTTGGTCTTCTGCCCTCCTCTGCAAAGTGCTCTAGCAGATTTGAGATGTCTCTGGCCATGGAAATCCAGCTACTGTATTTTATTTCTCATTTCAGCTCTTGGTGGACCCATGTGGAAATGGGGCCCCCAGATCCCATCCTGGGAGTCACGGAAGCCTTTAAGAGAGACACCAACAGCAAAAAGATGAATCTGGGAGTTGGTGCCTACCGGGATGATAATGGAAAGCCGTATGTGCTCCCCAGTGTCCGGAAGGTGAGTTTGCCATCTATCCCCTGCCTTCTTGGGATGGATCAACTGAAGAGAGCTCCTGGAGAGTGGCAGAAAGAGTGCCAGGCTGGGAGTCGGGAGACCTGGTTCCAGTTCTGGCATCAGCTGCTTAAATCACTCGGGTTTCTGGGCTTGGGGCTCCTTGCTGTAAAAGTGACAGATTGGAACTACGTGGTCTTTCTCAAGATTGAACTTAAGTGATTATCTGTAAAGCAGGCATAGTGTCATGTTTAATCCTGAGGGTGCACAAAAGGACCAAGAATTTAAACATTGCTTCTTGGTAATAAGAATAGCCCTTTGTGGATGAGGGTTACTGCCATTATTTTCCATTTCTATCATGTTGATGGCCTTAATAAGCTCTCCCACACAGGCATGCTCTGTCCCTTCATACTGAACTACAGAATAATTCGCTTTATTTTTGTGATATTTTTATCACTGTTCTTTCTGTTGGTAATCACTATAACTTTAAATAGTTAATTCCCGGGGCACCTGGGTGGCTCAGTGGGTTAAAGCCTCTGCCTTCGGCTCAGGTCATGATCCCAGGGTCCTGGGATCGAGCCCCACGTCGGGCTCTCTGCTCTGCAGGGAGCCTGCTTCCTCCTCTCTCTCTGCCTGCCTCTCTGCCTACTTGTGATCTCTGTCTGTCAAATAAATAAATAAATAAATAAATAAAAATAAATAAATAATTCCCTTAGAACAGTTTTTTTTTTTTAAGGAAAGCATGTGTTCCCTTTCCATCTACACCTCCTCTGTTGATATATGAATGCTTTGTCACTTCCGAAAATGGGCTGGTGATGCATCCTTCCTCCATAGAGCAGAACTGGGCACTGTGAGTGAAAGTTACAAAGGAATACTTCCGGGTCAGAGTACGACACTCCGTAATCATCTGAGCTGACCGCCCTGAAACCAGCGGGCTCAGGCCCTCAGGAGCCAGTGAAGTAAGAACATGGGCTGAATGAACCCCTGAAAGAAGAAGTGTCTAAGTCTATGGGAGTGTGAGTTAAGGGTCACCTCTAGAGCTCTCAGAGTAGACAGAAAGGGTTCGAGAAACCATTGTGATGAGAAGACCTATTGGAAACTGCTGACTGCTGGGTCTCAGGTCATGCAGGGATTGCCTTGGTCTCAGTCTGACAGTTGGAAGTATTCACCAAGGATTAGTCCGCTGGTTTGCAGGCTGGAATACCACCACACGCTTCCGTGCATTCCTTTGTCAGGTCTTCAGCCATTCGTGAGAGTTGAGCAACAGTTGTCCCCCCATTCAACAGATGAAGAAACTGAGGCTCAGGAAGGTTACTAATTTGAGTTGCTCAGGGTCACACAACTAGTGAGGGTTGGTCTCACCTCTGTCTCCAAAGCAGAAGAGATGTGGCTAGTACAATTAACTCTTTGAAGTTCCTAGACTGGCATTATACCTTGAAATACTTTCTTATGTATTTAGTTTGATTTTATCATCTTATAACTCTTTTAAGTGTTGCTCATAAACCTTGTTCTTGTGCATTCCAGGAATACCGTATATTAAATATTAACCAAGAAAACATTATGTACCCACCCATGTAAAACCTAACTGTAAAAAAAATACAATTTTTAAAATCACAAATATTTGTGTTCTACATTATAAAATACCAAGTATTCTTTTCTTTTTCTTTTTTTTTCTGTAGGGTTTTTTTTTTTTTTGTGTGTGTGTATATTTTCAAATTTTTATTTAAATTCCAGTTAACATACAGTGTCCTATTAGTTTCAGGTATAGTACTTAGCCTTTTTCTTGAACAGTATTTCCAAATAAAAACAAGGCTTTACTTCCTTTATATTTCATATATAAACTAAATTTATTGAACATTAAATATTAATCATCGTAATTCCAGGTAAGAAGAAGAAACTAAGCAGATACCTTTTCTCTTGTCTAGGCAGAGGCCCAGATTGCTGCGAAAAATTTGGACAAAGAATATCTGCCCATCGCAGGACTTGCTGAGTTTTGTAAGGCATCTGCAGAGCTGGCCCTGGGTGAGAACAACGAAGTGTTGAAAAGTAGCCGGGTAAGCAGAGCAGACTCTGCCATCATACAAAGTCTGTTTTTAAATTTAACAGTTGAAACAAATTTGAAATAATTTAAATAAATAACATATATCACTTTGTGTGTAATAATGATTTTGAGGTGACCGTACTATTGCTAAAATCTCTTCTTGAGAGAGTAAGTTGGTACTTATAAATTAAAAGATTTCATGTAGGGGCACCTGGGTGGTCAGTGGGTTTAAGCCTCTGCCTTCAGCTCAGATTTTATTTTATATAAAATAAAATATATTTTATTTTATATTATATTTATTTTATATTAAAAAATAAAATATATTTTATTTATAAAATAAAATAAATTTCATGGAACACCCATTCCAAAAAGGTAGCAATAATCCTGAAGGTGGAATAGTAATTTGACTCAAGAGTTGACCCTGCTCTGTGTGCTTATGTTCACTTTATACTGAATATGCTTTAGAAATGCCAAACTACGGGGTGCCTGGGTGGCTCAGTGGGTTGAGCCTCTGCCTTTAGCTCAGGTCATGATCTCGGGGTCCTGGGATCGAGCCCTGTATCGGGCTCTCTGCTCAGCGTCCCCCTCTTTCTCAGCCTGCTGCTCTGCCTACTTGTGATCTCTGTCAAATAAATAAATAAAATCTTAAAAAAAAAAAAAAAATGCCAAACTAGGTGCACCTGGGTGGCTCAGTCGTTTGGGTGTCTGCCTTCAGCTCAGGTCGTGGTCCTAGGGTCCTGGGATTGAGCCCTGCCTCAGACTGTCTGCTCGGTGGGGAACCTGCTTCTCCTTTCCCCTCTGCCTCTTCCCTCTGCTCATTCTCACTCTGTCTCAAATGAGTAAATAAATCTTAAAAAAAAAAAAAAGAAGAAGAAGAAATGCCAAACTATGCCCAGTTTTAGGCCTATAATTAGCCGCTACTCTCATGTTCTCGGCTTCCAGCTCAGATGGAAGAAGCACACAGGCACGTCTCTTGGGGCCAGGACCAGTCTGGCACTCCTCCCCTGCCCCTTCACAGCCAGTTTAGACATTAAAAGAAGGCAGCTCTTCTCCCTTCATGCTGCCTCCCTTGTCTCTCCTGTCCAGAAGAACATCGAGCAGCAGTGACAGGGGGAGCACACATGTCTCCCTGGGGGTTCTCTTATGGCAGAAGAAGATGGTACTGTACACAGACTTTGCACAAGTAGATGTCTGTGTGCACCCCCAGAGAATGCACAGGCTCGGCCCTTCCTATAGAAGAGGAGCAAGCCCAAGGCGGCTGGGATGCCTCCAGGCCATTCAACAGCCCAGTGAAGAGGGGCCTCGAGCCCCATAGTTCACTTTCCTTTGAAACAAATGTTTATTAATGGATACATTTGTATGTTTAAATATTTGTTTTCCTGGGCAAGTCCCGAGAAAAACAAAGTAGCGGCACTAAGCCAACATTTCTCCCCTTCTGCCCGGGAGACCAGAATAAATACAGTTTATTCACTAGGCTGGTCTAAGTCCACAGGTTAGATCACGAACTCAAGAGTAAAACTGCAACCTCTTACTGAGACAGTAATGATCCTGATCCATGGTTTGATTGATATCCATGCAATCAACCGCCTATTAACCCCTCATGAAAGCTTCCATTTTTTCTATAATTTTTGCTTATCTCTGTCTGTCTAGCTAAAGTAACATCAGCTTATCTCATAAATTGCTGTGCCTTTATGAATTATTAGTATTATCAGATCCACAGTTAGGTTTGTTTGGGTTTTTTGGGTCTTCTAAAGATTTTATTTTTTTTTTTAAATTTTTATTTATTTATTTGACAGAGATCACAAGTAGGCAGAGAGGCAGGCAGGGAGAGAGAGGAGGAAGCAGGCTCCCTGGCGAGCAGAGAGCCTGATGTGGGGCTTGATCCCAAGACCTCGAGCTCATGACCTGAGCTGAAGGCAGAGGCTTAACCCACTGAGCCATCCAGGCGTGCCAAGATTTTATTTTTTAAGTAACCATTTCACCCACTGTGGGGCTCAACCCCAAGATCAAGAGTCCCTAGCTCTACCAACTGAGCCCACCAGTTTCCCCCACAGTTAGATTTTTATTTCTGTCACGGCAAAGTTCGCAGGGACAAACTTTGTTCCATAAAGAGTTTGTTACGCTCTCTCCCCTCCCCCACCCGTTTCTTCTCCTGACCCCCAGGCCAGAAAATAAGTTTATGTTTAAGAGAACCTTAAACATCTATAATGCCATAGAAAAAAAAATCTGTGATTTCTTATTCCTTAAAGTTGACTGATTCGAAGAAACAGATTACCTCAGGCACCTTCCTGTTACTCAAAAGATAACATTTTCAGATTATGAAAACTCAGAGAATGGAACTTCTGAGCCTTTAAAATGTAGTGATCCTTATTATTCTCATAATAATAAGTTGACTTGCTTTTCAAGGAACTTTGATGTTCAAGAATCGTTCAGTATTATAGTGACTTTTCTTAGTGTCTTTTTTTCTCTGTATAAATGAGCCTTTTCTCATGTGGGGGGAGCAGTTGTGTCCTAAACATTTCTCCTGCTATATGGTATGACACTGATAACAAGCCATGAGGAGTTAACTTCTCGGTCAGCAAAGATGTTGGAAACTGAAGAGATGGCTCTTTTGAGATCTCACAGGGAGAGTCATTCTGTCTCTTAGCAAATTGGGAAATGAAACAGTAGTGCTATTCTCTCATTTCCCAGGACCATTTGAAACGTCTTCAGCTTCTGAAGCAGGAAGGAGACTGAGTATACAGGGCAGTGCCTCTCTGGGCTTGGCCTCAGTTCTGTTATGGGCCTGTAGAGAGTATCACACCTTACTGACCGTGCTCTCTCTCCTTCAGTATGTCACCGTGCAAACCATTTCTGGAACTGGGGCCTTGAGGATCGGAGCCAGTTTTCTGGTGAGTCTGGAAACTGCTTCAGGGATGAGCCATAAGAGAGTCTGTAAGTTGAGGATGATGGGGTTTCCTATTGCCTGTGTGTTTGATGACCTCTGTCCCCAAAGTTGGAAGAGTTCCTGTTCTCTGACGAATGGAGTCAGGGGTAAGAAAAGTAAAAATACTTAGAAGAAATTGCAAGGAAGATAGAATAATAATAATAATAAATCTTATTTATTGAGCACATATCTGTTATTACCAGCTTTTCTTTTAACTCATTTAATCATTTTATCTTTATGAAGAAGATTCATTTACCGCCATTTTACAAACAAAGACAGTGAGGCCCAGACAAGCCCTTGGCTACACAGCAAATATACTCGTCAGAGCTTAAATTCCAGCTCACACGGTCTTGCTGCTGAGTCATTACTATCTCTCACTCATAAAGATAAGATGAGTTTCAATAGAGAAAAATGTCTTCCTCTTAATGTCTTCTTCCTAAAATGTATCAACTCTTTTTATTTCTTTCCTTTTCCTTCTTCACTTATCCATTCCCTTTCATCCCATTTTTTAGCAAAGATTTTTTAAGTTCAGCCGAGATGTCTTTCTGCCCAAACCATCCTGGGGAAATCACACACCGATCTTCAGGGACGCAGGCATGCAGCTACATGGTTATCGATATTATGACCCCAAGACGTGCGGCTTTGACTTCACAGGCGCCCTAGAGGACATTTCGGTAAGTGTGACTTTCAGGGCAAGAGGGGTGAAGGAATAAGAAACAAACCTCCTTGTGGAGATGTGATGTTTCACAGCTGGGTCTCAGTATCTGAGTAAAAATACTGGGAATGAACTTATTTCCAGATCTCAGATTATCTTTGTTACTGATCCAAAATAGTGACTCTATGGCATTTCAGGTAAGTTATCTCCTTTCAGAGCTGCATGGTCACCTCTTGGTTGTCTCTTTAGAAAATGCCACAGCAAAGTGTTCTTCTCCTGCATGCCTGTGCCCACAATCCCACGGGAGTGGACCCCCGCCCTGAGCAGTGGAAGGAGATAGCAGCAGTGGTGAAGGTAAGGAGAATGAGCTGACGAGCCACAGTTCTGTGTTCAGTAACTGGGCAAAGTCCTAATCAGAATTAATTACCCTTGAGCCCACATTAAGTTGTCAGGAAAGAGCTGCTTACTTATTAATTAGCAATTTGGGTTTTGTTTTTGGTTGTTTTTGTTTTGTTTTGTTTTGTTTTACGATCTTTATTTATTTGAGCGGGAGAGTGCACATACATGCATGCAAGTCAGGGGAGGTGCAGAGAAAGGGAGAAAATGTCAAGCAGACTCTGCCGAATGCATAACCCAGCACGGGGCTTGATCCCACAACTCGGAAATCACAACTGGAGCTGAAACCGAGTCAGCCGCATAACCAACCAATCCACCTAAGTGCCCTGCATAATCAGTAGTTCTTAACTGATGGTACAGGAGCAGCTTAGAGATAATTTCTGTTCCTCAGCCTGGATGTTGGGAATTCTGAGGACTCTTGTCATTGGCCAGCCTGTCCAGTGGGCATCCACTGGCCCCAGGATGTCTCTCATTGGCACCTACATTTGTCCTGGCCAGGATTACATGTTCATCCTTTATACACTTTGTCATGTCTCCTGTCCTGGCCTGTTTCCTCAGCATGGCCGTTATTCACAGACTCAACTGTCAGAGAAGGCACTTGTCAAAATTTCAAGGGAGGAGGGATGCCTGCCTGGTTCAGTTGGTAGAGCATCAAGTCATGACCTCAGGGTTATGAGTTCAGGCTCCACATTGGAGGAAGAGTTCACTTTAAAAAAAAAAAAATTCCAGGTATTCCTGGAATACCAACAGGTATTCCTGGAATACCAACAGGTATTCCTATTGCCCTATGTCTCCATTTTCGCTTCTTTTGGTCTCCCTTTCTTTACATTCTATTAAACCTAAGGTTCAAACAGAATGAAACAGAGGAGGGAAAAGAAAAAGAGAAAAAGAGCATTCACAGAGCACTTTGGAGATGAGATGGTTCTCATGAGTCCTAGGTAAAAGATGAGACTGCCAGAGTTACATTAGCCCCAGAAGAGACTGATGTTGGTCCTGTGTTGACTGGACCAGAGTAATTACCTAGACTCCTCTGGGCCTGAAAAGAGCTTCCTGTTAGACCAAGCAGCTTTCTGGGAAGATTAAAATTAAGAGTACCTTTTCTTTCTTTCTTTTTTTTTTTTTTTTTTTTTTTTTTTTAGATTTTTATTTATTTATTTGACAGAGATCACAAGCAGGCAGAGAGGCAGGCAGAGATAGAGAAGGGGAAGCAGGCTCCCTGCTGAGCAGAGAGCCCAATGTGGGGCTTGATCCCAGGACCCTGGGATCATGACCTGAGCCGAAGGCAGAGGCTTTAACCCACTGAGCCACGCAGGTGCCCCAAGAGTGCCTTTTCTTAATGTCTTCTTGAGGAACCATAACCACCAAAGTAAAGAAAAATATATGATGATGTCTTAACTGAAGGAACATTAAACATCTCCAAATTGCCACCAGGGGAGAAGACTGCTCACTCTGTGTGAGGCAGATATGGTCCTCATAAGCACAGGCAAGCATGTGGGGCATCTTGAGACAGACTGCCTAAAGCTTTGCTCTTCTCTTTTTCCTTCCCAGAAAAACAATCTCTTTGCATTCTTTGACATGGCCTACCAAGGCTTTGCCAGTGGTGATGGTAACAAGGACGCCTGGGCTGTACGCCACTTCATTGAACAGGGCATTAATGTTTGTCTCTGCCAATCCTATGCCAAGAACATGGGCTTATACGGTAAGCTCAAGGATCCAGAGTGTGGTGTGTGAGTCCTGATAAGACTGAAGAAGTGCTGGAAGAGGATGCCACAGAGATACCAGTTGGGGGGAGGGCGGTGCCTGTGTCCATGTGTGTGTGTGTGTGTGTGTGTGTGTGTGTGTGTGTGTGTGTTACCCAGAGAAGACAGGTAACCTGGATTTTACTTATCTTAGTCACATCTTCGTTCGTGTCTCTGAACTCCTCCAGCAGAGGAAACTAATAACTGTGTCTCTAAACAGGAAATGATGGCTCCACAAGCCAAGAAAATGGATGTCATGAAAAGAGACCCTGAGTACTCAGACTTCCTGTTGCCTCTAGATTCACCTTACTGGTTGTCGAAAGCTTTTTAACAGATATTTTTGGGGCACTTCTGATGGAAGCATAATATGTAGCGCATTGAATCATGACTTGCTTTCGCGTGTTAGACTGGAAAACTGAACGACAGGGTCCGTGTGTGTCTCTCCAGGTGAGCGTGTGGGAGCCTTCACTGTAGTCTGCAAAGATGCTGACGAAGCTAAAAGGGTGGAGTCGCAGTTGAAGATCTTGATCCGTCCCATGTATTCCAACCCTCCCATCAATGGGGCCCGGATTGCCTCCACCATCCTGACCAGCCCTGACCTGCGAAAACAATGGTAACTGCTCATTGCTGCCCCCCTGCCCCCGCCACCGAGCTTTCAGGGTCGTGATGTACAGTATCACCCAGCTTCCCTATGTGGGCGGAGAGGAGGAGAGAGGGGTGTGATTCTGTTAGCATTCAGATACATCGGAGACAAACGTAATTCAGAAACGGCAGGGGTTTTTTATTCCATTATCTCCATTTTAAGTAAAACCTTCCCTCTACTCAACTGAGGCCCAAATTGAAGTACCTTACATAAGAAAACTTAAATTTTTAAGAACACCGTATTTTTTGTTTTTATCTTAGCTACCTCTGAATCAGTATTTCTGCTGCTTTTTGTTTTTTTATCAGCCTTTCCATCTGAATCTCTTGGCACCTGTGCTCAAACTTAGTGTCACTCAGTTTCTTTGACCACAGTCCACATAAGACATATTTTGTATCGTGACCCTGAACCCACATCCCAGTAAACGTACACGAAACTGAAACAGTTGTCAAAAACTCAGTACTTAGGCTTTATGTGTCCTAGTATTTTTTAAATGCCAGTTGCATCCAACTACTTGAGCACTAATGGGTCATGCCACACAATTTGGAAACCTTGCTCTAGATCAGAGGTTGGCAAACTGTTCTGTGGGTCAAATCTAGTCTGCCCCCTATTCTTATAGAGTTCTATTCGGACACAGCCCTACTCATTTTTGATGAATTACATGTGGCTGCTTTTGTGCCAAACAGCAGAATTTAGTAGTTGTGACAGGGAGCAAATGGCCCGCAAAACCTAACAACGTTTATAATTCAGCCCTTTATAAGAAGTTTGCCATGTTAACTGTACTGGGACTTAAAAAAATTTGAAAATGAGAAGTTTGCCAATCCCTGCTCTATGTATTTCAAAGTTAATGAAAAGCCAAGATGCCCATGAACAATGTGATTTGTCAGATAAGAGTTTATCTTTGTAGCTGGTTAATTGAGAGGCTAAAAGATCCCTGAGCAGCTTCTCAGGGAGAAAAGCTAAATCTGTTGTCTGCTGTCTGCAAGAAACTTTATATGCAGTCCCCCAGCTTATCACATGACAGCTATTCTTTCTAATTTAAATTACTCCTGTGGAACATTGAACTAAGTCTGGTTCAGGGTAGTTCTTTTTAGTTAAATATACCCATGCCGGGCTTACCAAGAAACTGACCACTTTTTTATTTATACTTTTTTTTCCCGTTATAAAATTCATATGTAAGTATATTTCAGAAAGTTTGGGAGAGGGAAAAAAACTCACTGTAAATCTAGTCATTAAAGCCCACCGTTTGTCTTTGTTCACTGTCTTCTGTCATGTTAACAAACCATGTACTTTACTCCTATCTATATGTATGTTGTAGGTTTGGTGGTATTTTTGTCTCTTTGAGTTATTCTAAGCTTTTTTTTTTTTTTTTTGAACTTCATATTTTTAAGTGTTTTTTTTATATTTCCTAATGGTTATCAAGATGTCATTTTTTTAACGTGTGTACTTCAGTACACCTTTGAAGTCTGTCATGTACAAAGGTAACAAAGGAACTGTGCTAGATGAGTGAGGTATTTCGGCCTGTGTGTAGTTTATTATCAGGTGAGGGTACACATATAGCATTGATAAAAGAGACAATAAAGGCAGACCAAAGGAAGGGCTGTTGATTCTAGCAGGGTATAAAGGAGGATATAATGAAGATAGCAGCCTGTGAGCTGTGCCTTGAAGGGAGAAGAAGGCTTTCCCCCGCCAACCAAATAAAGAGTAAAGGAGAACTGGACAGAGCTGTGCCTGAGGACAGGTACCGGAGCGCATTGTGCATCCTGTAGGGCGTGCTTTGGAAGTCCCAGGGAGTTTCTGTGGCCTTGACTCTGAGGGGGAGGAGGATAGAGAAGGCAGCAAAGCTGGGAAGTTGGGCATAGGTGATGAAGCACCTTCACCGAGATCTTGAGAAGTCAGAACTTCATTCTGTGGGCACCAGTGAGCACGGAAGGGTTTTGCTGGAGTTGCCCTGGATCTAGCTGTGGTCAGAGCCTCCATGCTTCTAGGACGCCAGCCTGAAAGTAAATAGAGCAGGACAGAGATGGGACCATAGGAAATTTAAAATCAACTCTCATCCCTAGAGGAGTCGGGAGCTAGAGCTCCAGCCAGGAATCACGCTGCTAGTGAAGTGTTGCCAGCTTTTTCCAGAGAGGAAAAACCTGTTTTTATGTGCAAGTGCCCAATTTTAGATGTTTACCTGAGTCAAATAAAAATTACTAATACTAACTTTCTTTGACTTCTGATTGGCAGTTGTGACCCATTGTAACTGTGTATGACATCATCATAGATGGTTTAAGAACATGAACACGTTAGAACAGGGAGGTAAACTAGAAATATTTTTAGTCATCTAGTTGGGCAAGAATTTCCCCTAGAACCATAGGTCTAGAATGGCAAGAGGAGATTCTAAGGAAGGTGATGATGTCCAGAATCAAGTGAGCCATGTGTATCAGAGGACTGCCTTCAGTTGCCAGATAGAACTGACCCTCCCTCCCTGGGCTTTTAATGCGGCACTGTTCTATGGTTCTTAAATTGTCCTGCCTTGTTCCATAGTTTGTGGTTCACAAGTTTGTTCCCAGTTTTGGTTTTAAGATTTAAAGGCAAGGACCATGTCTGAACCCTCCCTTCTCACCGCCTAGCACATGGCTTGGCACATCATAGGTTTCCAGTGCACTGTCTTTTTTTTTTTTTTTTTTTTTTAAAGATTTTATTTATTTGACAGACAGAGATCACAAGTGGGCAGATAGGCAAGCAGAGAGAGAGAGAGGAGGAAGCAGGCTCCCCGCAGAGCAGAGAGCCTGATGCGGGACTCGGTCCCAGGACCCTGAGATCACGACCTGATCCGAAGGCAGAGGCTTAACCCACTGAGCCACCCAGGTCCCCTCCAGTGCACTGTCTTAACTGCAAAAGCAGGAGTCTATTCCACCCATGTTAAAAATAAGGTCATAGTTTACTATTTAAAACACAACTTTAGGGGCGCCTAGGTGGCTCAGTGGGTTAAGCATCCACCTTCAGCTCAGGTCATGATCCTGGGCTCCCAGGGTTGAGCCCCACGTCAGGCTCCCTGCTCAGTGGGGAGGCTGCTTCTCCCTCTCCCTCTGCTCCTCCCCCTGCTCATGCTTGCTCGCTCTTTCTCTCCCTCCCCCAAATAAATAAAATGAAATCTTTAAAAAAAAAAAAAAAAACCACAACTTTTCCACTTTTCCCACTGCATAAACAATAGAGAGCCTTAGTCTTCCTAGATTTGAGTCATTCCTTTTTTTTTTTTTTTTTCAAGATTTATTCATTTATTTGAGAGTACAGGGTTGAGGTAGGATAGAAGGAGAGGGAGAATCCCAAGCAGTCTGCATGCTGAGCACAGAGCCCGATGCAGGGCTCAATCCCTCAACCCCAAGATCATGACCTGAGCTGAAATGAAGAGTCACATGCTTAACCAGCTGAGCCGTCCAGACACCCCTCATCATTCTTTTTTTTTTTTTTTTTTTAATAAACATATAATGTATTATTAGCCCTAGGGGTACAGGTCTGTGAATTGCCAGGTTTACACACTTCCCAGCACTCACCATAGCACATACTGTCCCCAGTGTCCATAACCCCACCACCCTCTCCCTACCCCCCGTCCCCCAGCAACCCTCAGTTTGTTTTGTGACATTAAGAGTCTCTTATGGTTTGTCTCCCTTCCGATCCCATCGTGTTTCATTTATTCTTTTCCTACCCCCAAGCCCCCCACGTTGCATCTCCACTTCCTCATATCAGGGAGATCCTATGATAGTTGTCTTTCTCCGTTTGACTTATTTAGCTAAGCATAATACCCTCTAGTTCCATCCACGTCATCGCAAATGGCAAGATTTCATTTCTTTTGATGGCTACATAGTATTCCATTGTATATATATACCACATCTTCTTTATCCATTCATCTGTTGATGGACATCTAGGTTCTTTCCATAGCTTGGCTATTGTGGATATTGCTGCTATAAACATTCGGGTACACGTGCCCCTTCGGATCACTACGTTTATATCTTTAGGGTAAATACCCAGTAGTGCAGTTGCTGGGTGGTAAGGTAGCTCTATTTTCAACTTTATGAGGAACCTCCATGCTGTTTTCCAGAGTGGCTGCACCAGCTTGCATTCCCACCAACAGTGTAGGAGGGTTCTCCTTTCTCCGCATCCTCGCCAGCATCTGTCATTTCTGGACTTAAGTTTAGCCATTCTGACTGGTGTGAGATGGTATCTCATTGTGGTTTTGAACCCCTCATCATTCTTAATAACTGCATCACATTAGTCATTAGGTGCCTGCTCAGAACAGTGTACAATACAGTAAAATAGCTTTTTACTTGCCGAACTAGTGACAACATCTGACTTGGGCTAGGACAAAGAATTAAGTCACACTGGGGAGACACCCAAGGAACGTAAAATTGCTGTGAGCTCTGTCTTACTTGTTGGTGTTTTGTCTAGAATTGAGCTGCATCCCGGGGTTCTTTTTGGGGTTTTTTGTTTTACAGGTTGCAGGAAGTAAAAGGCATGGCCGACCGCATCATTAGCATGCGGACTCAGCTGGTGTCCAACCTCAAGAAGGAGGGTTCTTCCCACAACTGGCAGCACATCACTGACCAGATTGGCATGTTCTGTTTCACGGGACTAAAGCCCGAGCAGGTGAGAGGGCCCTGATTTCTCCTCAGCTGACCAACTGATCAGTCCTCGCAAACAAGAATTCCTGACAGATCCCCTACCTATTGGGTTACCATTAAAACGGTCCTTTTGGAACCCTGTTAGGTAAAGGAAGAGTGTAGCATTCATTTCGTTCTGTTAATAGTCATTTCCCTGTCTGTATCCCCTGTGAGGCTGCAAACTGCTGAAAAGCAGAGCAGGTTTTGCAAACTGCTGAAAAGCAGCAGGTTTTGGTCATTCTTTGGACCACTGCTGCTTCTCTGAAGAAATCCCAGCACAAGCAGGAGCCGGAATATTGATAGGAGACATACCTGAGCTCTTCCATAGCTGGATTTTGGATCTGTTTTTTCTTCAAATGCTGGATCGAAGATTTGTTTTCACCTGTTCATACCTCAGAATTCGTCATCCAACTTTAAGATGGCTTTTTATCCTTCTCTCTATACTAGCCCACTAAATACTGGGAATAGGGTTTAAGCAAGAAAATTGAGTTTCTGTTTTCCTGTTTTAATGCCTGGGCTGGGCAAATCCCACTGCCTAGAATGCTCCTGACCTCTCTTTTCTGCAGGTGGAGAGGCTAACCAAGGAGTTCTCCATCTACATGACAAAGGACGGCCGCATCTCTGTAGCAGGGGTCACCTCTGGCAATGTGGGCTACCTTGCCCATGCCATTCACCAGGTCACCAAGTAATTTCCCTGGTGAGAGACAACCTTCCTGCCTACGACCCCTGCTGTTGTGAGATTCACACAGAGAGAAGAGGAGGGTGGATGGTGGTGAGCAGGTCCTTTCAACCACAGTAGTTAACACTCAACCACTGAATGTGTTTCGCAGAAAAGAACACGTAGTGAAATAGGGCAGAGGCATCTGCGGCGGGTGTCTGAAACTTTGTGGCTCAAAACCAAACTTCTGCTCGTCCTTGAACCTCAGCTATTCCAAAAGAGTTTACATGTACGAGGAAGACAGAAACCCTGTTGATCATGCCATTGCAATACTCCAGAAGCTTTAACTGCAGCACCTTAGGGCGTTGGGGTACCTCTAGATCTGGCATGAGAACAGCACCCGCAAAAGGTGTGTGGGAAGAGCCCATTCCGACATTCACAGGCGGCCTCATGTGTGTCCCCCCGCCGCAATCCAGCAAGCTTATCAACGGACCTTGTGACAGAAATCATGTTTCATGAAAACCAGCAAGTCTGCCACTGCAGCAAGGAGAATAAAAAGATGCTGTTTCCTGTCTTATTTAAGAAGAAAAAAAAAGGTTCTTTTCAATACTTTCAGGCATTTTAATGTTCTCTTTTCCCTTATCATTGCTGTTCTTTGTCCTCAGCCACAGAGATCTAAAACTAGCATGCATATTCATCCTGCGCTACTGCTTGACTGACCACCTGCCCCATCCTATAGGCTGTCCTTATTTGAAGAACAAAGAAGATAATTTACTGCCCCTCCCATACCCTCACCTTACTCGTCAGAGAATAGCCCAGAGTAGGTAACAGCCCTTGAGGCCAGCATCATCTTCAGTGATTGGTTGTCTACTGTCGGGTGTCACCTCTGCCCAGTTGGACCCCTTTGTTGAGTGTGGTTGTGCGGTCTGTCATCTCACATCGTGAGCGGGCGATGCAGGGCGGAACCAGGAGAGCGGATCCCTGCGCTTCGGTTTTAACCTCTATGTGCTGCCAGCTGGGCTCAGGCTTTACCCTTTGGAAAGATAACCACCATCTGCTCCAGTCATGTAGACTTCTTGCAGCTTGGTTTGTCTGTTCAAATAAAGTTACTGCAGACCCCACCGCTGTCTCCTATGGTATGTTTTTCTATAATGGAAGGAAAGGTTAGTGGCCAGATGTCCCAGCAGTTTGCCGGCCTGTTCAGCTGCCTGTAAGCCAGGAGGTGTGTGAGCTGTTCCAAATGTAAACAAAAGCCAGGTCTTGATCTTGCCATTTGGCTTTTCCAGTCCAACAATGTTGAAAATGTGGGTATAGTCCTTTGGACTTTGGGGAACAAGTGGAATACCTTGAAAGAAACTATAGATAGAACAGGAATGAAGAAATGGAGGGGCAGTGGCGACTTTAAGTGTCTACAGGAGCCAAGTAGGTAACAGAAGCAAACAGCGAATGTAAAGTAAAAAAGGGATGTGAAATAGGAGAGAACTGGTGAGCAGCCTCCGTCCTCAGTGTTGAGGAGTGGTAGGGAAATGACAACACGGAGAGAAAATTCAGGATTGCAGGTCTTGTGGTTTTTTGTATTTTAAGATTTTATTTATTTGACAGCACAGGCAGAGGGAGAAGCAGGCTCCCCACTGAGCAGGGAGCCTGATGGGAGACTCCATCCCAGAACCCTGGGATCATGACCTGAGCCGAAGGCAGACGCTTAACCAACTGAGCCACCCAGGTGCTCAGGTCGTAACTTTTTTTTTTTTTTAAATGGAAATCCTGGTTTCTATGGGAGGTCTACGGATGCTTAAAAGTTGGCAACTAATTCAGTTTGTTGTAAAATGATTTGCAAGCAAGATGCAAATAGTAGGTTACCAGTGCGCAACCTTTAACATGAAGTCATGTGCTCTGTTGGCAGACATCTAGCAGTGGCACCTGCTTAGCATCTGTCCTGCTCAAGGTTATTCTGTCCCTTCTGCTTAGTGCTAGGAACCATTCAAGATGGGCCAGCTACTGAGCAGACAGTGGAACAGGACTCGGGCCCAACCACAGTGTTTTTTGAGAGGGAGGGGGAAAGAGGAAAGTGAGCTCTTGTTTTTCTTCGCCCTGCAAAGGGAAGAGTACACTGGGGACCCGGGGGCTCTTCTGTGTTCCTCTTGCTAATGGAAATAACCCGGCAAAAGGAAGTGAATGGGCCAGGTTACCGGGAGTCTTGGAAATATCTTAAAAGGAAAAGCAATAAATACTATTAACTGATCCATAAAGGGACTGACTGCTAAGTCTCTTGTCTGGAGCCAAAGGTTGAAAGTTGGCTGCCAAGACCTCAACCAAAAAAGGAACTTAACCACCCTGCTGACTTGTTATTTTTAAATATGTATTACCAGCACACCCTGGACTAAGTCCCATTCCTCACTGAAAACAGACCTGGTGGGTGTGAACCTGATGCTTCTCTCCACTGTTCAGACTGCTTCACCCCTTCCGAGCTTCTCACGCTCTAAGATGTTAGCGTGCTTGCACGTGATGGGGGAGGTGGTTTGCCCACTCAGAAGAGTCATGCCTTTGTTCTGTTACAATTTAAGGTATAATAGTTTCCAAATCTGTGTTGATTTTTTAAATATTGGTTTCCTGTTCTTACCTTTGGGCATTCTGACTCAGTATTTCTGAAATAAGGCTTGGGAATCTTTTTTTTTTAAATAAGAGAAAACTGGGGCGCCTGGGTGGCTCAGTGGGTTAAGCCTCTGCCTTCGGCTCGGGTCATGGTCTCAGAGTCCTGGGATCGAGCCCCGCATCGGGCTCTCTGCTCAGCAGGGAGCCTGCTTCCCCCTCTCTCTCTGCCTGCCTCTCCACCTACTTGTGATCTCTGTCTGTTAAATAAATAAAAAATATTTTAAAAAATAAATAAATAAAAAAATAAAATAAAATAAGAGAAAACTTCCCAGGTGGTTCATATATAGCTGACCCATGGGCAGCCATTGGACACCATTAGATGAGACTGCTTCAGGCTTGCATCTAAACCAAAGCCCAGCTCATTCATACTCCTTGAAGAAAACCATTTTTTAAGATTTTATTTATTCGTCAGAGAGCATGCACACACAAGCAGGGGGAGTTGCAGGCTCCCCACTGAGCAAGGAGCCGGATGGAGACTCGATCCCAGGAACCTGGGATCATGACCTGAACTGAAGGCAGGCTCTTAACTGACTGAGCCAACCAGGAGTCCCACCTTGAAAAGAATTTTTAAAACTCTTTCCTTACTTCTAGGCTTGGGAATTTGGTGGGATTTTTTTTTTCGTTTTTTGGGTTTTTCCTCCAAAATTACTAGTTTACTGTTTTTAAAAGATTTTTATTTATTTGTCAGAGAGATAACAAGTGGAGAAGCAGCAGGCAGAGGGAGAAGCAGACTCCCCACTGAACAAGGAGCAAGATGCAAGAGTCAAATCCCAGGACCCTGTTATCATAACCTGTGCCAAAGGCAGAGGCTTAACCAACTGAGCCACCCAGGTGTCCCACTAGTTTACTCTTATAACCAGTAACTAAAAGACCAACTTTTTCAAAACAACAATCTTATTTTAAGTTGAGATTAATACTGCAACTTACATGTCTGATAAAGGACTTGTATACAGAATATATAAAGAACCAGTACAAATCAATAATCAAAAGACAACTCGATTAATGACTAGGAAAGGGGTCTGAATAGACAATTCTCCAGAGATGTACTGATAGCCAATAAGCTACTAACAGCAGGGAAATACAAATCAAAACCTCAGTGAGAATCTGTTCATACCTGTTAGGATGGGTATAAACAAAAAGAGAAGATAATGAGGGTTATCAAGGCTATGGAGAAATTGGGAACTCATACACTACTCCTAGGAATGTAAAAGGGTGCAGCGGTTTTGGAAAGCAGTCTGGCAATTATTCAAAAGTTTAAACAGTTACCATTTGACCCAGCAATTCTACCCCTATGTAAATACTGAAGATAAATGAAAACCTGCATCCATACAAAACCTGCTTATGAGTGTTTGTCGCACTCATATGAGTGAGTTATCATATGAGTTATTCACAAGAGCCAGGAACTGAGAGCAACACAAATGTCCAGTCAACTGGTGAAAGAATAAACAAAATGGGGAATAGCTCAACAATGGACTGTTAACCAGCAATAAAAAAGGATGAAGTACTAATACATGCTCCAGCATGGAGGAACCTTGAAAACAGCAGGAGGCAAATGTTGTAGGTAATGAGAAGGTCACATATATCAGTCTGAGGTGCATGTTCTTGTGACACAAAGTCACATATAACTGTTTTTATGAAATGTCAAGAATGGGCAACTCCACAGAAGCAGACAGTAGATTAATAGTTTCCAGGGGCTTAGAGAAAGGAGGAGTGCCGAGTGACTACTCATAGTTACAGAGTTTAGGAAGAGTGATAGCAGTGTTCTGAAATTAGGTAGGTTGCAAAACTCTGAATATACTAAAAACCACTACTAGACACTTTAAAAGGTTGAATTTGGCGGATCCTAGGTGGCTGGGTCCATTAAGCATACAACTCTTGATTTTGGCTCAAGTCATGATCCCAGGGTCTTAGGATCAAGCCCCACATGGAGCTCCCTCCACACCTCTCCCGCTGCTCACTCTGGGTATGTGTGTCTCTCTCTAAAACAAATCTTTTTTAAAATTTATTTTATTTAAGATTTTACTTACTTACTTATTTATATTATTTATTTATTATTAGAGACAGCAAGTGGAAGGGAGGGCAGAGGGAGAAGCAGTCTCCCCATGGAGCAGGAAGCCTGATGCAGAACTCCATCCCAGGACCCTTGGGATCAGCAGAAGGCTGACAAGCCACTGAGCCACCAGGCACCCCAATAAATCTTTTTTTTTTTTTTAATAAAAAGGGTGAAATTTATGGTAAAATGCCTAAAGTCCAATAGTTACTTATGTTTCAAAAATTTGCAAATAGCTCAGATATCCTGCAAGTGATTAGTTACACAAACTGGTATATACACACTGTGGAATGTTCCTCAGTAATAAAACATACAGGTTGATACACAACAACTTGGATGGATCTCTGGGGGATTATGCTGAATACGGAAAGCCAATCTGAGTACAGACTGTTTCATTCCATTTATATAACTTTTTTTTTTTTAAGATTTTTATTTATTTATTTGGGAGAGAGAGAAATCTCAAGAAGGGAGGGGGCAGAAGAGGAGGAAGAAGACTCCCCACTGAGCAAAGACCCTGACGCGGGGTCCCTGGAATCATGACCTGAGCCAAAAGCAGACGCTTAAACAGCTGAGCCACCCAGGATTAAAACTAACAGGATCAGCATGGTGAACTGGGCCGGGAGAGGACCTCAGGTCATTACTGTGGGGTTGAGGATTCACGCAGCTGGCGCCATCCAAGACTAAAGCCGGCGAAAAACTACAACTCCCAGCGTCTCCCTCGCCGCTGGATCTCGGGCGGTCATGTGATCACGGCTCACGTGTCCCTGCTGCCGGCTCGGGCGTGAAGCACTGTAGGTAGGTGGCAGGAGCAGAGGGTGTGGAGTTAAGTCCCGGGCCTGGGGTCCCCGCTGCGGTAGTGTCCTGCCCACTCCCTGCAAGGCTCTGAAGCCCGAAGTCCTGGGTCCCCCGCTCGCCCTCGGTTGGGCCGGGTTTGCCGCGCGGTAATCCCGGACGGTCTCCACCTGGTGCTAGGCCGGGATCCAGTACTGGGGCCTCCCTGTCCTCCCTCACAGCAGCCCCATCGCCTTGCTTGGTGCCTGAGGCGAGCCCCGGGTGCGTCCCGGGTGCGCCCTGGCCCACTTCCCACTGCAGCCCACCCTGCGTGTTTCTGGGATCCAGCCACAGGCTGGACTAGGCGCCCGCTCCCATTGGAATGTGAGGGGCCCAAGGCAGTGGTTACAACTCTGGCTTGAGCCTGGGGACGTCAGCCTTGTAGTTCTGACTCTGCCAACTACCGCTGGCTGTGACATTACTCTAGCCTTTTTCCTTCCCTGGGCCTGATCCCCTCACTGATCTGGTGCTCCGATCTGTGAGTTAGCGTCACAGCTGCTCAGTTCCCTTCCTTCTGCTGACCAGCACAGAAACGGCTCAAACTCTTCTCTCTGCTGACAGCAGATTTTAGGTGAAGTTTTGAGAAAGAATAAATTGGGGCCAGAGGGAGGTGAGGAAAATCAGATCCCAGATCTTTGGAGAGAAAGAGCTGTAAGAAGCAACACACCCTCCACCATAGACCATCAGGTGAAAATAGCAGGTAAGCTGGGGGTTGTGGAGCTGAGGACTTTTGGGGGAAGGAGAGCTGGGAAGTCTTGGACCAGTGCAGAGACCTCTGTGTCTGAGATGCAAGCAGGGTGGATGAGGAGGTCTCACGACTCTGGGGAGTGCTGACTTCACACGGCTCTCTCTCTCGAGCTGTGCTGGAAAGCTAGGAGCCCCAAACTCTACCTCCACTACCCACAGCTTTGATTTTTTGCTGAGTTACTGGTTGGGTAACAGGTTGCAATAAGAGGAAGCCCTGTGGCATCTGACTGATCTTTCTGGACTTGGAGCTGGCAGAGAGAGATTTCCTCTGGAGCTGGGTTCCTTGGTTGCATGCTTGGTGACGGTTGTCTGAGAGCACCCACATTCTTCCTTTAACCTCTCAGGAGTGTACGATTCCCATTTTTGTTCAGCCATCACCAGGAGGAGAAATGAGAAACATCTGACGGTCTAGGGGCTCTCAATAGCCATTCTAAACCCCTCCCTCAGTGTACTGAGGGCATCAGAGGGATGCCTCTGATGGGCAGTGGTTAGGTCAGTCACCCAGGAGAAAAATGAGAATTAGCCTTGAATTTTGAAGGGCTTTGGAAGCTACGCAGAATTTAGACTCTGGGCCAGAGGGGGTTGTATGGGACTGTAATACACGGAAATACTGACAGTTCTAGGTGAGGGCTGTTCTTGCAACCCTGTGAGGTAGAAACAGGCTGATAGAGATCCAAATCCTGTTCTCCCTCTTGCTAATATGTGACCCTGGGTCAGTGATATGATCTCTCTGAACCTTATGACCACTGTGGTAAGAATTGAATGAGGTAAGATATGTCCAGGGCACCTGGGTGGCTCAGTGGGTTAAAGGCTCTGCCTTCGGCTCAGATCATGATCCTAGGGTCCTGGGATAGAGCCCTGCATCGGGCTCTCTGCTCGGCGGGGAGCCTGCTTCCTCCTCACTCTCTGCCTGCTTCTCTGCCTACTTGTGATCTCTGTCTGTCAAATAAATAAATAAAAATCTTTAAAATTTTTTTTAAAAAAGAGAGGTAAGACATGTCTGTGATACTCCTGCCCAGCGTGTAGCCTCTCTGTAGTGCTGATATGTTAGTACGCCTCTATTTTATGTTTATCTCTTACTGACCCTAAGTATCTGTAAGCCTGAAGCAAGCAGGATTTGCATGGGATATATTTCTGTCTCCGCCACCCTACACTCTGGCTCCCAGTAATGTATTCTGCACAGAGGCACACCTGGATTTGAATCTCAGCCATCTGACCTTCAGAATGTCAGTTCAGCTTTCTGTGCCCCTCTCAGGATAACAGGAGTACCTGTCTCTCCCATCTAGGTTGAGAAGAGCTGGGGCTCACAGGCAACCTGGGATAATAGTCCCAAACAGGCTGGTGCCGCCCTCCAGCTGAAGGTGTTCTCTCAGCTGCCCCAAGGATGTGATTGTGAGGCCAAATCTGCAAACCCAGTGGGAAGCAGGCTCCCGGGGCCATGGCCCAGGTCAGCATCAACAGTGACCTTGGCGAGTGGGGCTCGAGCATGGACTCTGGGGAGCGGGCCCGTCTGCTGCAGAGTCCCTGTGTGGACACGGCCCCCAAGAGTGAAGGGGAGGCCTCTCCTGAGGGTCTGGGCAGAGGTACCACTTCCACCCTTGGGGCCATCTTCATCGTCGTCAACGCCTGCCTAGGTGCAGGGCTGCTCAACTTCCCGGCCGCCTTCAGCACGGCAGGTGGGGTGGCTGCTGGTGTTGCGCTGCAGATGGTGAGTGCACTCGCTGCTCCAGTGGAAATGCAGTTCAGGGGCTGGGGCAAGGCTCTTGACTTCATTCAGAAGGGGGGTTTTGCATCTGAGATAGTGGTAGGTGACACCTGCCACCTCTGTCCCCACCCGCACCCTTGGCAGACAGTACCAATCAATTCCAGCATTCTTTCCTCTGAGCCCAGAGGAGGCTTCAGAGCGCTTCCCAGCAGTCAGGGAAGTTTGGACATCAGCCGCGTATTGAATAATTGTGTAGTTTATGTCTTAAAAGCGGGCCCTTGTCTTTTAGAACTACATGCTGAAATATTTACTGGTGAAATAATTTAGTAGCCTGTATTTCCTTCCAAATAATCCAGAGTGGGAGGGGGCATAGCAGAAACACGATGGGCCATGAACTGGTTATTTTTGAAGCCGAGTGGTGGGTGAATGGGGGTTCATGATACCATCCTGTCTACTCTTGTGTACGTTTGAAATTTTCCACAAGACTTTATTTCTGTTTTGAGAGAAAACCTCAGTTCGGCAGCCTTCAGCCATCTGGTAAAGTTGCCGGCAAGATTAGACTCATTTAGCGAGCCGGCTTCGGGCATTGGCCTCGTCAACGCTGTGCAAGCCCGGACTGCCGTTTGCTGCCAGGCCTTCCGCACAGCCTCTGGCTCTGTCCTGCCTGCAGGGCATGCTGGTCTTCATCATCAGTGGCCTCGTCATCCTGGCCTACTGCTCCCAGGCCAGCAACGAGAGGACCTTCCAGGAGGTGGTGTGGGCCGTGTGTGGCAAGCTGACGGGAGTGCTTTGTGAGGTGACCATTGCCATCTACACCTTTGGCACCTGCATCGCCTTCCTCATCATCATTGGGGACCAACAAGACAAGAGTGAGGCTCCCCCTCGGGATCTACTTCATCCCTCCCCCTCAGGGCTGGTGCTCCCGGGGGGAGGGGACAGGCACAAACACCTGCCCAGGGCCTGGCCTGGGTCCGGCATTCTTCTGCAAATCCTCCCCCCTGGCTGCTGAGCCCATTACTCTGATGGAGGTCCTGAGGCTCACCAGAGGGGAGGGCCGCAGCCTGCAGGAGCCCAGAGTGATATTCCCTCCTTCTTTCCTGTGCAGTTATAGCTGTGATGGCAAAGGAGCCTGAGGGGGCCAGTGGCAGCCCCTGGTACACAGACCGAAAGTTCACCATCAGCCTCACGGCCTTTCTCTTCATCCTGCCCCTTTCCATCCCCAGAGAGATCGGCTTCCAGAAATATGCCAGGTTTGGAGGCCCCACCCCAGCCCAGGCCAGACGGAAGCTCCTGTCACAGGCAGCTAGAGACCCAGGCACTGCTGGAGAAGCCCTCTCCTTCTGGGGCAGCAAGAGTGGGCAAGGCAGGGTGGAGCAGGGCTTGCAAGGCTTCTGGCCTAAGGTTTCCTTATGTGTCAGCCACAAGGAAGACAGTGGCCCTTTGCATCAGTGAGAGACTCCGCCCCAAATGTCCTTGTCAAAGAAGGGACAGATGATAATCAGGAATGTGAAGGCAGCTTCCCGGCAGGGCTGTGGTTTTCCCAGGGAGAGTGGATTTTTGATCATTTGATCATTTGATATTGTCAAGCCTGGCCCAGTGTTCCATGTAGCTTGGTATGAAGGGAGAGGACTGGCTTCCTGGCTCAAGGTCTGAAAAGCTGTGTGATTCTGAGCGTTTCCTGCAATTTATATTTGACAGGGTCACACTCCGCTATCTCCGGGGTCCCCTTTCATGTTGACATCCCAGACATCCCAGCCCTTTTCCCTCCAGCACCTCCTAGTTCTCAAGGGCCCTACTCGCAGCTGTCACCAAGCGGGGGCTGCACTGATGGAAGTAACAGATGGGCTTTGAGGCCCAGACCTCTGATCCATGGAGCTGAACCAGTGCATTTCCTCATGGTTAGAAATGTCAGTCTGGCCCCCTCTTGGGGACCAGCTCCCTCCAAGCTGTGACCAGTTTCTCTAAAACGTATTTTTTTTTTAAGTTTATTTATTTCTACACCCAACATGAGGCTCAAACTCATGACCCCAGGATCAAGAGTCTTATGCTCTTCTGACTGAGCCAACCAGGCACCTCTCTAAAACTTATTTCTTATGCATTATTTTATTCTTTGTTTGGAATAGTCCCCCAATTCACTCAGTAGACACTGTGGTCACTAGAGCTGAGGGTGGGTACTCCCTGGGGTGAAATCAGGGAGGGAAGCTGGGGCTGGGGAAGAGGAAACTCAGTCCATTCTTTCTGGCAGCTTCTTGAGCGTCGTGGGCACCTGGTACGTCACTGCCATCATTATCATCAAATATATCTGGCCAGATAAAGAGATGACCCCAGGGGACATCCTGACCAGGTGGGTAAGAACCCCCGGGAGAAGCCACCACTTGGGCCCCAGGAGGTGCTGGGCCACATAGGTGCTCTTCTCAAGGCTCATTGGCTCACCAGAGCTTGACTCATCAGTCATTGTAGGAAGGAGGCAGGAGGTCCTTATCTCTTTTTATTGGAGGGAAGAGTGAAGACCAGGGATGGGGAGACTTTGCCACCAATATCCAACAGATGAGTCGTCATGAGACAAGACCTCTGGTTACAGAGACTACCACAGTGGACTTGCACGTTTTTGCAGCTTGTGCTCGTTTAATTTCTTTATCTTCTGTATGAGGAGAAATTGGTTTTGTCATTTAAAGCCAAAAAAAGTTTCCTATTTTTGAAAAAGCAAAGAAAGGTCCGGTACAGGAGCCAGAAATTCAGGATTTGGGTCTCTGCAGGGTCTTCCACAGCCCCAGTTTGCTGACCTGTGAAATGGAGATGTGCCCTCTCCCTGTTTCCAGACTTAGAGGGGGTTAAATGTGTAGAATAGTGGTGGGGGAGGGCCCTGGTGGCCTGAGTGAAGCAGGACATGGGGGTGATCGGTGGCTCTGCATGGGGTGCACATGCATCAGATTCTTGTGTCTTTGTCCACAGGCCAGCTTCCTGGGTGGCCGTGTTCAATGCTATGCCCACCATCTGCTTCGGATTTCAGGTGCTGGTTGCAAGGATCCTGTCACCTCTCAGCTCGTTCCCCATTCCGGGCTGGACCCCACATTACAGGGAGGATGGGGACATCCTGGGAGGAAAGACAAAAGTCAGGGCCCTGGGCGTTGTCCTTTGTCCCCATGGCTTTTGTCCCCCAACGTACCTCCCTCTGGAAACCAGGGAAGGGATCACTCTGCCTCATAACTGTGACCTTCATCCTGACAGTGCCACGTGAGCAGCGTGCCCGTCTTCAACAGCATGCGGCAGCCCAAGGTGAAGACTTGGGGTGGGGTGGTGACAGCCGCCATGGTCATTGCCCTCGCTGTCTACATGGGCACGGGTGAGTGCTCCCCTCCAATGGCTGGACTTGGAGTGCTCCCACTTTCCCTCTTTGTCTCTATGTCCTCTGGCCCAGCTCTCCAGGGGGACAGCCCTGCACTTCCAGCATATCAAACACTTCTGTAGGTGTTGGCTTGAACTCGGGCTGCCTTAGGCCTCCTCCCACCCGAATGAGAGAGCTGTATTCATGCATTCATTCAGCAGGTCTCAATCAGTCCCTAGTAAGTGCCAGGAACTGTTCCCAGCATGGGGGATGCTGTGAAGATTGACGGCCATGGTCCTGCTCTCATGGAATTGATGGTCTAGCCAGAGAGAGCCTTACAGAGTAAATCAGGAATCAGTAAGGCATTCTAGACAGTGGTGAGTGCCACTGTGACAGTCAAACAGGGAAGTTGTGAGTGGGACTGGGAGAGGTGGGGATGGCCACCATGGATCACAGAAAGGGGATGGTTCACAGAAGCCTCCTCTCTGAGCGGGTGGCAACTGGGAAGGCCCCAGTGATGAGGAGTCAGAATCTGAAGGCAGGGACAGAAAGGTCTGGAGTGGACAGAGTTGGGAGCAGGCAGGGAGGCCAGACAGGGCCTGTTGGGCCTATTGGGCCTGAGGACTGTTGGGAGCCAGAGAGGAAGCATTTCAAGCAGGGACACATCTTGGCAAAAAATGGCTATGGGTGCCACGCAGGGAATGGTTTGGATGACAGTGCAGGACCAGAAGACAAGGAAGCCAGGCCCTGTGATTCTTTCCACAGGTGTTACGGGGCCAGCACTGTTCTACCTCTGAAGACAAAGCTAGGAATAGGAAAGGCAAATAGGCAGAGCCCCTGGCCTCCTGGGGCTCGTGTTCTGGCTGGGGAGACACATGATGAACAAGTGTTAAAAAAAGAAAATGCAGAGAGAAAGTAGCAGTCTGAGGAAGATAGAGCAGGGTGATGTGAGGGAGTGCCCAGGGCCGGGGGGTCATTGTGGATGGGCTGGGTGGGCACGTTCTCTGTGGAATGGACATCTGAGCAGCGACCTGAAGGTGAGGGGAGAGGGGTGTGAAGGGCTGGGCAGACAGAATGTTCGTGCAGAGGAATGTGCTGGGTGAGCTCAAGATGACAAAGTTGGCAGTGGGGATGGAATGGGAGAAGTCAGGGAGGAGGCCTCGGGTCCCACCCTGACACCGTCTTAGCCTCCAGAGCTGCTCCAGCACCCTCCCCATCTGACGCTGCACCCAGGAGTAAAAGGTCCATCCCCTTACCCTCCCAGGATCACCTCTGCCCAGCCCTCTTGTCCCTGTCCTCAGGCATCTGTGGCTTCCTGACCTTTGGAGCTGCCGTGGACCCCGACGTGCTGCTGTCCTACCCTTCTGAGGACATGGCTGTGGCCGTTGCCCGCGCCTTCATCATCCTGAGCGTGCTCACCTCTTACCCCATCCTACACTTCTGTGGGCGGTGAGCACCCTCCCCACACCATGGGGGTACTCCCTCCCTGTAAACCCTCTCCCTTTTTGAAAGCCCTTTGAACGTGGTCCTTTGACCTTCTCTGAGTCCTCTAAGAACCTGTAGTCCAGGTCCTTTCCTGAACACCTAGCCTTGTAGGTACCTGGGGAGAATAATAGCATGAGTTCCCACGGGGCGAAGACATCCTGGGCCGGGCCAGGCACTGAACGTATCACATCCACCATCCCCTCTGGTCCCCATGGAGTACCGCTAGGCCCACTTCACACAACAGGAAACAGGCGCAGAGCTTAGGGCCATACCCCCAGTCTACTGGCTCGAGGTCTAGCTCCAGAAACTGGAGGGGCCTCTGAGCCACGTCCTTGCGGGCAGGGCGGTGGTCGAAGGCCTGTGGCTGCGCTATCAGGGGATGCCCGTGGAGGAGGACGTGGGGCGCGAGCGGCGCCGGCGCGTGCTACAGACCCTCGTCTGGTTCCTGCTCACCCTGCTGCTGGCACTCTTCATCCCTGACATCGGCAAGGTCATCTCGGTCATCGGAGGCCTGGCCGCCTGCTTCATCTTTGTCTTCCCAGGTGGGGACCCCCGCCCCCCCCACAGCACCTGGCCCCCCAGGTCTCTGGGCCTCAGCTCCTCCTTTGCGCTCCTGCTAGCGCTTATTAACCACCCGCCTCAGGCTCCGTGGCTGAGCCCCGCCCCTCCTGAAAAGAAGGTCCAGGTGCTTTCTCCACTTTGCTGATGAGGCGATGAGGGGAAGTCAACAGACTCAAGGCTTGAGTAGCAGCTTATTTGACCCAGCCTGCACTCCTAAACCTTTCCTTCACGCATTGGTCGCTGCATGACGATGAGGGGTCGGGCTGGTTCGGCTTGGGATAGCCCAGAGGCTGATGGGGTCTGGTGGCCGCACACTGATGCAGAGGTCGGGAGATGGACACATGATGTCTGCCACCACGTCCCCAGGAAATTGTCCCTTGGGCCCAGCCACGAGTTCTGCCTGTACCCACCTCACTCCTCCCTGGGAGACCAACTGGAAAGGCCTTGCCACATTGCTTGGAGCAGTGGCGGCCACACCTGCTCAGAAGGGCACAGGGAAGGGCCCCGGGTGTGGTGGGGGCTGCTGCCCCTGAGCTCTGTGGCTCGTGTGCAGCCCATGGGGTGCCTGTCAGGTGCCTCAGCTGTGCGGGGAGTGGAGGCGGAGATGGGGTATCGGGGAGGAACACACACAGGCCCTTCTCGACTCACTGTCACCATCTCTTGATAAAGGGTGGGGGGAAGCCCCAGTGAAGGAGTCCACCTGAGCTCTGGGGACCGCCTCTTCTCTTCTAGGACTGTGCCTCATTCAAGCCAAACTGTCTGAGATGGAAGAAGTCAAGCCGGCCAGGTAAAGCAGGGCACCCCTGTGGTCCTGTCAGGGAGGTGCTGGATGAGGGGTGGTCCGGTGGGGGCAGGGGGGCCAGAAACAAGGATCGAGAGACTTGTGAACGTGAAAGCCATAAGGGTTTTCTAAATCCCTTTTTAAATGGGTGGCACATGCTGGTTGTAACAGCTTCAATGCTACTGGACTTCAGAGAAGAGTGTGGAAGTCCCTCTTCCCCCTGCAGCGCCCTCCCCGCCGCATCCCTCCTCCTGAGAGAGCTCTGTGCATGAAGCATGCGTGTGTATGCACAAGCATGTGATGCTCTGTGTCTATTTGGGGTTCTCCAAAAATGGCTTCATGCCAGACTCTCCTAATGTTTGCGGTTCACTTAACCATGTGTCTTAGAGATCACTGTCAGCACAGGAAGATCCGTCCACTTCTTCCCTCTTTTGAGGACTGCAGAGTGTTCTGTTTTGTGAATGCATGAATACTCTTTTACATGGGCGATTTGGCACACCTGTTTTGAAGATCTTAGTAGGATCAATTCTTAGAAGGGAATTGCTGAATCATGGGATGTGCTCCTTTTGACTTTGGCACATGGATTCAAATCTCCCTCTAGAAAGGCAGTACCACTCAGAGTCCTAAAAGCAGAGAGTGCGAGTGCCTCTTCTGCACAGCTCTGCCAGGATTGTATGGAACAGACTTTTAAATTTCTGTTAGTCTGATAGATGAAAAATATGACATTGTTTTAATATCCACATTTTCTTGAATAGCACAGAGGTTGAAAACTGGTTGCAAGCTTTTTTTAAAAAAATGTGCACATAATATTCCTTATAAAAAACTTTAAAAATATAAGTCTAAGGAAGAAAATTAAAATCATTTTGAATCTCAGTACCCTGTCATACCCTCTTAATGCCCTGTTGCTTTCTTTGATACATTGATTTGCAGATGTCTGCTTTTTTTTTTTTTTTGTAAATGGAATGGGTCACATTCCACATGAGCTGCTTTTCCCTGAACATATTTCCATCAGAACATATGCATTCTAATCCTGGTTCTGCCCTTGGCTTGCTGTGACCAGTCCATGAATCCTATTAGGTCTAGGTCTACTGACCCATGGTCTAGGGATCATATAGTCTGGTCCCACATATCTTTGTATGAAAAGTCACTTAGAAGTAGGAAGTGCCTACCCACAGGAGAAGTGGTATAAGTTATTACAATAATTAACTGATAGATAGATAGATATAAAGTCTGCAAAGTCAAGGATGGGTTGACTGACTAGGCCCCTCTCTTCCTCTGCCCTACAGCTGGTGGGCGCTGGTCAGTTATGGTGTCCTCTTGGTCACCCTGGGAGCCTTCATCTTCGGCCAGACCACAGCCAACGCCATCTTTGTGGATCTCTTGGCATAACCACTGCTTCCAGGCAACACGTGGCCTTTGCCGCTGGACCCAGGAACCCATCTCTTCAAGCTGTGGGGCCACCCTGAGTCCAACATCATTCCCCTTTACTGGTGGGATGACATCTGGACATCCTTTTCCGGGGACAGTTCTGGAGTGAGATCAAACCCGGTTTCCCTCCTGCTTTCCAGTCCCAGCAGTGTGAGGATGGGCAGGGCAAGGTCTTGGGTCACAGAAGAACCTTCCTTGCCCTCCAATGCTCAATTCTCCATTCCTGAAAAACACAGGGGAAGAGTGTCAGAACATCTCAGAAAAAAAGAACCCAGTCTGACTTAACTTTGGAGAAAGAGTGTGGGCAGAGGGCCACCGCCATCCTCCACAGAGCAGCCTGTCCTGAGCAGGAGCTGCTCTCATCACCCTGGGACCCCGTCCGTGCCTGCCCGTTGTCAGCCACTTAGCCCACAGTGGCTTCTCTGGGATCGGGCAACTTCCAAAGGTAGCACAAAAGTCATACAGATGCACAGAGGTAGATAGAGTCATGCCTTGTCCACCCCGTCCTGGGGCCTCTTTCCCCAAACCTGAGGGTCCAGGCATCCCTGTCTGCCTCCATTCGCAGACATCATCAAGTCTAATGTTTACAAACGGTGCCAGCCCGGCTCCGAACCAGAGGCCGGGGGCCGTGCCGTGCTGCCACGGTGCTGTGAGGATTCCTTGGTTAGTTTTTCCCTTGGCAGGACGTCTGCTTTTCTCGCTCTAATTCCAGGTGGGCCCCTCATTTCAGAGGCACAGGTTGGGTGATAGAGAAGGCTGGAACCTTCCAAACCCATGCAGGCTGGGCTAGTCAGGGTCTGGGGGAGCCTCTCTGATAGCTTCTCTTTCGGTGACTGCTTCTCTTCTGCCTGCTCTTGAGTCATCTCTCTCCTGTCGGCCCTAGCAGGGTAGCCGTCAGAGAAGAGCAGCCGAGTTGTCACTGACTGGGCAACATTTGAGTATAGTCACGCCAGTGTGGAAGTTTCCCTTCCAGTCCAGATCTGGTCTGCTCCCTCCCTTCATTGTTTCTTCACCCCCTACCCCATTTTTCTAGCTCAGTCTCTCACGTAAGCCTGGGGGTAGTAGACCTCCCTTCTCTTGCCCACTTCTGCAGCTCCAGGGGTCCACTGGGCCAGCCTCAGCCGTCTGTCAATCACACTGAGGTCACACATGGATTGTGCCCCAGATGGGGTGAGGAGGAACACTGTTTTCCTGGTCTGCATTCCCATTTTTCCTTCTCCGGCTGTTCACTTCGACCAAACCCAGGCATTGAATCGGGCTTCCTCCACCTGGAACTCACAGCATTTCCTCAGCCCCTCCTGCCCAAAACCTCCATAGCACAGGTGAGCAGGACCCTCCACTCAGGGCAGTGAGCTCACAGAAGCAGAGGCAGGCCTGGCGGCAAAATAGGTTTCTGCTCAGTTCCCGGCCTGGATGACCACCTTTCCTCACATCCCCGTGCCCCCCTCCACCCACCCTCAGCCCCTCAGGCAAGACCCATGCTGCTGCTTTCTCTCAGCCCCTGCATAGTGCCAGGCCCTTCCAGCGCCCATCCCTGCCAAGGCTAGGAGGTCCAGTCAGCAGGGATGCATAGCCCCCTGAGGTTGGATTTCAGCTAAGGGATGGGGGATGTAAGGGAAGTCCTCGCACAGAAACAGACCTGTCAGGAGAAGGAGCTGGAATCTGGCCATTTGGCCTAACCTCAGGAGCCCCCTGCTCTGCCCTCCCTGCCAGGGTATTTTACGGTTTCTTTTCTACTCGTGCACATTCATACCAGGGAAGATGGTTAATAAAAAGAGGCTGTGCTGCTGAGCTGTGTGGCCTCCGTCTGGTGCTGGGGACAGAGTCTAGGCCACTGACTGGAGGGAGGTCGGCTGGGTTGGGCGGAGGGTAGGCGGGGACTTTTGGCCTTAATCGACTTTGACCTGTCTCAGGTGTGAGTACTGCCGTGCTCCCTTCATCGAGATGGGAACATACAAGTGGTTTGTGAGGACTCCCCTTTCTTCCACATCCCACCAGCCCTTCCCTGCCAACCTGGGGATCTCCCCCTGGGCTCCTGTCCCACTGCCTCTGCCTTGGTTCAAGCTCTCCTCGAATTTTCCCCACCCCATATGGCTTCAGACCGGGCTCTGTGCTGCGTGTCTGGCTGACCTCCCGTTCTGGGATGAGCTTCAAACTCCTGAACAACCACCGTCATCCCTTCAGAGGCGTGTGTTGAGCAGGCCCCAGTTTCAGAGCCCAGGCACTCACTGCTCAGGGCTGGCAGGAAGGCACTCTGCAAGACAGCAGCTCCACTCTCGGACAGATGGGTAAGACTGATGCTAAGCACGTGGTCACACACGTGCATACTTGCAATTTGTGATATGTGCCAAGAAGAAAATGTAGAGAATGTTCTCTTTGGGGGCCTGAAACTTCTCTGGGGAGTCAGGGAAACCTTCCTGGAGGAAGCGGCATTTGATCTGGCCCCTGAATGATGAGTAGGAGTAAACTAAATGAAAACAGGTTAAGAAAACCTTTACAGGCCATGGGAACTGCATGTGCAAAATCCCTGTGGGGAAGAATCTGGTGTTTGGTACTTGGCATTTGAAGAACTAAAAAGTGGGCATTGTCTGCCAGGTATTGCCTGGGTGAGGGAGCAGGGATGAGACTTGGCTGTAGGGTGAAGTCTAACCAGCTCATCTTCCACCACACCGCCTTTCCTCCTGGTGGGAGTGGGGACTCTCCAGGAAAATAACTTCTGAAGTGGCCTAGTACTTTCGAAAGGCTGGAGGGGTGAGACAGCTTTGGGTCATACTTTACAAGGGACCATGAAGGCCAGAACTTGAGGTTTGGTTTCACGTTCTCTGAGTGAACAGAGAGAATGAAGGTTTTCACCTACGTTAAAGGCAAACATCCGTGTTCATCCATTCAGTCATGATACTCAAGATACTTCCCATCTTGTTCACGAAACGTGTAAGCACTGATCTTAGGTCCCCATTACGCTGTAATCTCCATGGGAGCAAGGGCATAGCTCCTGTTCAAAAAACAAAGTTCAGGGGTACCTGGCTGGCTCAGTTAAGTGTCCAACTCAATTTTGGCTCAGGTCATGATCTCAGGGCTGAAATGGAGCCCCATAGTGGCTCTGTGCTCAGCTTGGAGCCTGCTTAGAATTCTCTCACTCTCCATCTGCCCCTCTCCTCTACCCCTACCTCTTAAAAAAAAAAAAAAATTCAACTGAGTAAATATGCATATCAAGTAGGCTTTATTAGGCAATTCATGGATCAGGCAGTACCCAAGAAGCAAGTACTAAGATGCTCCAGGGAGTTGTGCAAAATGGGAGGTTCTTAAGGGAGGGGGAGTAGTCAACACGGTTATTAGCAAAAGAAAAGAAGGGATTGTTTCAGGCAAAGTCACTTTCCCTTAAAGGGAAAGGCAGGGGATCTTAGGGGAATTACTTCATCTTCCTTTGGGGGATGGAGAAGGCCTAGGTGACGGATTGCCTCCCTGGTGCTGACCAGAAATTCCTGACTCATCAGTTAAGAGATTTCTGGGGGAGGCTGAAACAACACTGAAGTCTCAGGTTGCTATCCAGGGGCAAAGGACTCTACCTCAGGCCTGTGGTTTTCTTTTTTTACACTTTTATCCACCTGGTGTCTTAGCCCGGAGCCTGGCACGTAGTAAGCGGTTGTCCTATAGTTGACAGCTCTCTCGGAGCAGGCCTTAGCCTTTTTGACCCCTGAAGGCAAGCTCAGGAACCTACCATCCCCATGCTGGAGCCAACCCCAGATCTTGGAACCCTCGGCTTGTCCTCCCAGCCAATCTGTGCCAAGTGCTGGGAGGCCTGCTGACAGGTAGCTCTGGGCAGATTGTGGCGGCCCTCTGGGCTTCTGTTTTCCCAGCTCTCAAATCAAAATGATAATTGCAGACCCTATTTGCCTCCCAGGGGAAAAGGGAGATGATGTAAAGACGGTACATGGAAAATGACAGAAGTGCTTTGTAGCCAGAAATCCACATTCACAGAATAACTATGAAAACTCAGTATCTTTTCAGGAAGACGAACTGGGACTCCCCTACCACTTTGCAGGAGGCAGGGCGCTCCTCAAGCTTTAAGGTACAGACAACATTTCTATTTATTGTATTTATCCTCCTTAGAATACAAATTCTGATTCAGTAGGCCTTGGTCTGAAATATGTGTTGATGGTTGTTGTGTTTTGTTGTTTAAGATTTATTTATTTATTTATTTATTTATTTATTTATTTGAGAGAGGGGAAGGGGCAAAGGGAGAGAGGGAGAGAGAATCCCAAGCAGACAACCCGCTGAACCCCATGTGGGATTCAGGCTCAGGATCCTGAGATCATGACATGAGCAGAAACCATGAGCCAGAGGCTCACCCGACTGAGCCACCCAGGCGCCCCATGAAGTCTGTATTGCTAATGCTCCCCATGTTGCCTGGGCTCTGGTCCTTGGACCCCACTTTGAGGAACAGAGGACTGGTGGGCAGAGCAAGCCTTTAGCCTCGCACAGACCTGGGGGGTGGATCTTAGCCATGCTACTTACACTGCGGAAACTCGGAATCAGTTCCCATCTCTCAACCCTGCTTTTCTCAGCTCTAAAGTGGGAGTGATGGTGCCCACCTTGTAGACCTCAACATTGTAAATCCAAGGACAAGTGGCTTAAACACACATGAAGTGCCTGGAAGCTGGTGGGATTATGTTGATCCTTTCCCTCTGCTAGAAGGTAGGAAAAGTAACTGCAGTGTCTTCTTTTGGTCAATAGAGGTCACTTTTGTGTGTTTCTTCTCATGAAATGGGAGATTCCTCTTCCCTGAGTCACTAGAGCTCCTTGTGATTTGGCTCCTGCCTAGGACCCCTGAGGGATGCCCCCAAATTGGGGGGAGGACCACCTCTAGATTCTGCCCTCCAGTCTGGTGGGGGAATCAGGCCAATCAAATAATCCCAGAAACCAGTTACGTAAATACATATGCTAGATACAGACTAGATATTCCAAATCCGGATTTGGTAATAGTTCACTACTTGATACATTGAAAAAAATTTCAGTTGGTGTAGACAAAGGCCAGAGACATTGTAGCCAGGAAGAAGGCAGACACACTGTCCCGTGAAGGAACACTT